TTTTTCTAAAGACATCTCCAATCAGCAGCGTAGTTTATCATTTCTAAGCATTTTCTTCAAGAAGGAGGTAGAAACCAGCTAAATACCTAAAAAAAAGTATATATATATATATATATATATATATATATATATATATATATATATATATATATATATATATATATGAGTTATGGTTTCATTATAATTAAATTGCTATATTAGAGAAGTTTTTAAGCATTATAAATTCTTTGTCAATAAATACTTCTGAAAAATAAATTCATATAAATACTTTGATATCGTGTACAAAAGGCTTTATTAAAATGTGTTGTTTTATGAAACAGCATTGAGCACAGTAAAAGTTCTGTTAGGCTTATTTTAGATTAGGTTAAAAAAACATTTTAATTTAAATATTATTGTGTAAATAATAAATATAATTATAATTGAAGATTAACAATTCATCTTTTATTATTTATTTTAGAAGCAGTAGGCCAAGGGTATGGTCAAATTAAATACTATAGTCAAATTTTAATATAGTATTTTACTGGATATGCCTATATAATATTATTTAATTTGACTACACCTCTGATCAACTCCTTCTCAAATTATAATTACAGTCAACCTTTCCACACTATTATTATTATTTATTTAAGTTAAACATACCAGTAGTAATAGACAATATTGAACTCATAAACCGATAATAAGCTTGATGTACCAAAAAGAGAGTGCAAATATGAGTACATTTGGAACTAGAACACTAAGGAGGGTGATACCTGAACCTCAAGTGACACCATGCCACAATAGCCGATTGGCAGTTCATTTCTTAATAATATAAGGCTCAAGTTTGTTTCAAGGAGGATTCCATATTACTATTCTTTAAGGGATAAGTTTGAAATTTGTATTCATTATTATGTGGTTTGATATTTCTTAGTTTCACTTTGTGGAGAATTTATTTTAGGTTTTTTTATTAATATATAAAATCCTATTTACCACCAAATCCTAAATGTCTATTACTGGTACAAAATATGCTGTCAGAATTCTTTAGGTTTTTCATGAATAATTAATTAATTGACTGTATAAAAACAATGTGTTAAACGACGGCCCAGGCTGCGATGGGTGGATAGGGTGAATAAGGATGCACCCACCATTCTGGGGATCCGGAACTGGAGAGTGGCAGCTCGGAATCGAGGACCTTACTTCAGGCGGCGATGACCCCTCGCGGGTTGTAGAACCATGGAAGATATTATATTATATACCTAATAATATAAAAAAGAAATTTGAATTAACCAGCCTTTTGCAAGGTAATATGTCTAATTTGACTAGACTTAACAGTTCATAGAGCTATATAGATTTATGAAATATTCATAGAGCTATATGATTTATTAAATAAGATCCTATTTATTTTCAATGAACAGATTGTACAGAAAAAAACACTAGAAAAGAGATGGCCTAGAGATGAGGTCATAAAAAAATAAATAAATAAAAGTAGTGGAAACTAAATTTTTATTTATATTCCTTCTCCTTACAGTTTATTGGCGATTAAAGTTAATAAAGGTTACAGAGTAGTTTTACTGTAGAAATTGTTTTACTAACACAATGGCTTAAAATATTAAAACCATCCTAACCTACCTCATCCTAAAAATTGCTAACATTTTTGTGATTTTCATTTTTATAGATATTAAATCCATAATAGCTTTGAATATTAAGAAACTATGACCATTACACAAAATATAATTGTTAAACAAAGAGTAAGTTTTCCATATGAAAAGGTCATGAACAATTTTTTTTTTGGAGTACATGAACAACCTCAGTGCTCAAACCACACCCTGAAGTTGACCCATTTTTTAATTTTTTTATTTTTCCCAACGTTTCAACCCAAACATGTGGGTCAACTTCAGGGTGTGGTTTGAGCACTGAGGTTGTTCATGTACTCCAAAAAAAAACCGATATGCTAATATTTATATCGGTGTCAGTCGATCCCTACTCACAACCTCACCCTGAGTTTAAATATTTTCATATGTAGATAAGTGGAAGTAAATTATAGAATATAAAACAATTACCATATGACAAATTTTGGCCGGGTTCAAAATATTAAAAGAAATAATAGGGAGAGGGAGAGTGGGGGGAGGGAGGCTAAGCTGGCTAACGTGTGTGCCAAATGAGTTGCCCAGCAACCAGATGGATTACGAGTTCGAGTCCCGGTGGCTTTTTTAAAACTGCTTCATCCCTCCCACCTAAACGTACTCTTAGTTTCCTCCCTCATCTTTCTTCCCCATCTCGACTACGGCTGTGTGGTGTACGGTGGACTCGAAGAGACAGACTAAGAATTATGAATAGTTTCATAAGATTCATCAATGGAACCTCAAGGCTTTTCTGTGTTTCTCACTATAATAACCACTCCCTTTCGACAAGATCTCAACCCTCTGACTTCTATACCCCTTTTCATAAATCTGCCTCATTCCATAACTTCTTCATTGTTCACTCCACCAGTTTTTGGAATTCTCTTCTTAAAATCTGCTGTTCCCCCTCCTTTTCACAACTCAACCAGACGCTGCCTAAGTATTTCTTGTTTAATAAAGATTTATTTTATTTTTTTGTAAAGAATATGGGTACATATTTCATACTGCTTTGTACAGAGTGATTGGGTACATTAGCTGTATTGTGTTAATATAGTTATACATTGTTTAAATAACAGAAGTGGCAATTTACTTTTTTTTTTATCTGAGGAGTTAGTCGAGGGTGCGGTCAAATAAATAAAAAAATTAAAATATATAAATTATTTTAATTTTTGCCGACGTTTCTACCCACTTAGCAGGTCGTCTTCAGGGCGTAGGATGTGGCACTGCGGGAGGCAGTTGAAACACTGGCTCAATGTTTGTAACTTTATAACTTATAGCTTGTAACTTTTTTTTTTTATCAGTTAAGAATGTTTGTTTATAATTAATTTAATTATACTTGCTGTATTATTATATTTAAGTAGCATTATCTTATTTCACCTTTCCTCGTTGGTTTCTAATATATTTATTATTCTTTTTTTTTTTTTATAACTATGTACGTACATTGGTATTTATTTTTATTATGTAATTGGTCTTATGCACAGAATTGATACTTTGTTTTTATTGTTATTCTTAAGGGACTTGTTTCTTAAAAAGAAAAAAGTTTAACTAACAATACATAGCAATTGAAAAACCGTGTAGTGACATAAGTAGTTCAAATGACGGGGAAATAGGAATAGTCCCTTTCGCTGTAACCAATTTCCTTGTTTCTCCTTTAGTTATTTATCAAACAGTTCTTAGTTTATATTTAACCACTTTTAAATATTAGTTACAATGTGAAATGGTTACTTACTTTAAACAAAAGAAATCAAATGTACTTTTGAGGAAGAAATTTTGAAAACTCTGCATTTAATTAAGCCCAGCCATACTATTTCAATAGAGATAAATCCTGCTTTTCATAACATTATTTCAATATGACTAAAAATTTATAATAGTAAGAGATGGGTTAAAGAAAGATACGATATATTTTTAAACTTAGCACATGGATAATTTAATTTACAAAGCATATTAGTTAGATAAAAATACATTAATATTCTTATCATTATAGGAATGTAGGAATAAATGTCTGAGGATAACCTAATTTCTTTTAAGTATGAAAAATCTACTAGACTACAAATAAATCTATTAAAGTGTAATGAAAGACATTCATTTTATAGAAATACTAAGCTTCGCCGTTATTCAGTCTATTAAAACATTTTCTTTTCATAATACTATGACTGATTTAAAGGCAAGTAGGAAAAACTGCAACATTTTAAAGAACAAATGAACAAGTTTTGAGTAAATCGTCTACCATGTAACACCTTAACAATTAATAAATATCCCCAATAAATCTATCTAATATTATCTTCTCTAATATATTTATAACAAAAAAATAATAACAATAAGCAATCATGAAGAGATTCATGATTGAATGTTAACAATTAATTTCCTTAAGACTCAACTTCTGACAAAACAATAGTTAAAAAAAAGTTATAATAATATAAAAAAAAGCCGCTAACTCAAAATTAGACATTGGAAAAGAACATTTGGATGTCCTAAATCTTGAATTATTTCACACAAATATTTCAAGAAAAAATAACCTAGTGCTAAAAACTTTCCGCTTAGGATAGTCTAGTCATTTTTAATAAATTCTGATTGATGAACAGGTTACCTTAAAAATAATGAGACACATGAATGATATACGGGGGTCAGAAAAATACAAATTAAAAAAAGTAATGCAAAAATGTTACACTTAGATTTACTAATAAAATTTCATAATTTTATCGGATTTTGAACAAAAAAAATTAGCAAGTAGTATTATTTTAAATCACAGGTAAAAACATTAAGGGCTTGCTTAAAAAGGAACTTAATTTCAACAGACAAACATATCAACTAGGCACAGACAAAATGGAAGCTTAATTCTAAAAAAAAAAAATTGATGAGTAGACTTAAAAATTAATGACCATTATTGAGGGTTTAAAGGTGGTGGTAGTCACTACTCATATTAAATTTACTTGAATGTTTTCACAATTGTCTATTTTTTTTCAGATATACATACTATTACTACCAAAATATACAAGTTTGAACTGGTTAATCAACCAAAATAACCTAAATACAAAAATTTAATCTCGTAATGTTTAATCTAAAACATATTAGGGGTCAATCATAAAGATTGATGAAATACTTTAAAATAAACAATTTTATAAAATTTTCAAGTAATAACTTCCTAAATATGTACAACTTTACGTAGCTAATTAATGTGACATTTTGGGCAACAAAATTATATAATGAATACGTGACCCAATGAAAGTTTAATTTGTGCACCACTACACACATTTCATACAATTTTTATGGATCAATTCTACTATAATTATATAAATATATTTTTTTCTCTTCTAATAATGAATAAAAAACTATAAATAGAACAATAAGATAATAAAACTTAAATATACATTATTGTTATAGGAATAAAACATGAGAAAATATAAGCAGTTTTTGAATTTTAATATTATTGGCGAATTGTTTATAAGGAATCAGTGGAAAGATCGACAGTTTCAATACTGGCATTAGAAGGAGCATTTGATGGCCTAGGAGTATCAACATGCACAGTCGGAACAGTCTTTGCAGAATCTGGAGTTCTCGATAAAGTAATCAACTGTGCTCTTTTTTTAATGACATTTTCCGCTGTTGGTCTAGGCGTCACTACATGTCCAACTGTCGGTCTCGGTGTCGCTACATGTACAGTCTTTTCATTTTCTTTTTTAACAGGTGTGCAGTCTATAAAAACAAAAATAAGATGTGAAATAAAGATACACATTTTTATGTTTTTTAAAATGTAAATATATATAAAAAGCTATATAGCAACATTCCACATAAATTGAACAAGTTAGCTCTTAAGAGGAACAGACCAATTCAATATAATCACTCCTGGTTTTATTTAAACTCTTCAGATAAGTTTTGTCCATTCCAATCTGTTAAGGCACTATTTCGCTGGCACAGTCCACGACAGCGACTGCTATTCCACGCTGCCAACCGCTGTTGGCGTAGCTATTTCGCTGAAACTGCTCACTGAACCTGCCTATAACCTTCGAACATTTAGCTGTATCTTCAAAGATAAAAAGATGGACACCCTATAATAATCAAAATGAACATCCTATAATCCTATAATAATGAACATCTCTGACTACCGCTTTTTTATTTGAGGAGGAAAAAGAAGAGAAAATGTTGTTCATAAAGAGAGGGAATATCAGTATTTCGATGAGATGCTCATCATCAAATCCCTTCTTGGACATTGTTTGCTATTGTCTAGATGAACAACCAAAAAAGAACTAAAAGGCGGAAACGCCGTACTAACAACAATAGTCCCTCTGATATTAGATATTATTTTGAAAAGTAATATTAATTAATACATTTGATTAGTAATAAATATCATATATTTGTAAATAAATCCCAGCAGGCGATGTTTTATAGTTTTCTCAATAGTAATCAGTAAATCACTACTTTAATTAAAAAACACAAATCGATTTTTCAATGGGTGGATTTTAGTTTTTACTTGTGTGATTCTTTAATTTATCGTTTGGATTTAGGTATATTTGTATTTCACTGTAAAATATTGCTGGTGGAATAAATAAATAAATAATCTTGTTACTTCAAACTTAAAAAAATAATTTACTATTTATTGCATTGTTTCAGTTTTAAACAATATTTATTATAATTTTGCCAGACTTGAAAGAAACATAGGAAATAAAACGTATCGACGTGACTCTTATCATCAAAACAATGCTCTGATATGATAACATAACCTACAACCGCCGAACCGCCAACAGCTCCATTGCTTTAGGAGCGGTCAGATAGGAGCAGCTTAGATATGACATCATACCCAGACTGCTGAGCAGCGGCAGCGAAATAGGTTCCTGTCTATTCCACTAAAGCAGTGGTCAAACGCGAGCAGTCGCGGTCATGGACTGCTCCAGTGAAATAGTACCTTCAGAGAACAAAATACACTCAACTTTTTTTATCTTCTTTTTTTAAAAAAATTTCAAAAGTTAAAATTATTTAAGCTACTTTTCAAAATAATAACAACTTGGTAGAGTTCGTCCAAGATGAGTTTGCCTGTGGGTAGAGGGGGAGAGAGATGCACAGTGGCGTTTTCCTGCCGATTCCACATTCTTTACAAATCAGGGCCCTAATAATAACATGAAGTTCTGTGAACCATTATCTAACCATCCTTGCCACTGTTTTATTTTATTTTATGATTAGAAATGCTACCTATAATCAACATTTATGTGAAATTTGCACAACGCACTCTTGGGATGAGATGATTGTTATGGTGGGGAGAGAAAGTGGAACATTCCTTGAGAAGGATTCTGGGGAGGATTTTAATGAAGACAATGGGAAAGAGACTTCTATAAATATAGGTAGTAATTAAGGACTTAATAAAATAATCCAAATCTTCGCCTCTTTTAATCTCCATTAATAAATTAATTTATTATAAAATTATACAACTTTTTGGTTCTTCAGGCATACTATCTGATTTTAAAACATTTTTAATATTTATGTTGTTTGAATGTTTAAATGTTGGCAACTCTTCTCCTTCCCTAGAAGGGTTGGTCTTATTCTGTGTTTACTAGACTAGGTGCCCAAGGCTGGGTACCACTAAACGCAAATAGGTTTAGTCTATTTTATATATTTATATATATATATTTTTTTTGTTTATTATAATTTTTTTAACCCTCTTATTGATTTTATAAATGGACTAACAAGAAGGCTGTTCCAATGGGCATCACTTCTTCGAATCATAGGGCAGAGCAAGAAGCTATCTGTGAAGCATCGAACCTGATAAGGATATCAAAGAGACCTGAAAATTAAAAAATTGTGGCCTTTACTGATGCATCGTTAGTGTTACACTAACTCAGGTCGAAGTGGAGCAAAAGCCTGAGAAAACTTGCCAAAGGTCTTGAAGATTTGATGCCCTTTCACAAGAAAGTTGTCTAGCAATGGATCCCTGGACACTGCGGCCTCTTTGGAAATGAGGCAAAGGGGTTTTGATGTATAATCCCAAAACGTCACACATAAATAAATTTCTTATTTTTTGGTCGTTACAAAAGTTCATTATTGAAACAATAAAACAAAATTGAATAGTCAAAAACTGTACTCACCATCAGTTGATGGAACAGGAATTAGTGCTACTCTTTTCTTTACAGGTTGAGGAGTATGCGCACCTTTTAAGAAATTTACTAAGAGACTCTCTTTAGGTTTTTCACTAAACACAAAAAAAAAAAAATATATATATATAAATAAATATTATTATAGAATAACTTCAAGCTGCCTTATAACAAAGAAAAAAAAATTGTGATGATACTTACGGCACAATTGGTGTTGGTGGTGCAGAACACTTTGCAGTATCAATTACTTTCAAACCATACTCTTTGCACATGTCCATATTTACGGCCCTAAAGCAAGGTACATAGATAATTACATAAATTAAAGTAAGTAAATTAAAAGAATACGTATATGTGTATACAAATTTTTTTTCCCCATTATTCTTATTTTCAGTTTATATTCTTTAGGAGATTTCTGTTAGACAATTTAATTATACTTACAATTAACAAGAGTAATATTCCTGTAGATGTATAGTTTTTGTTATATGAAAAACTGAAAATGAACTGTTTTCTATGGAAACCATTACAACATATATACACACATATATATATATATAGCCAGTTATTATCTATTAATCCAGCTATCATTGATACACGTAAATAAATTAAGTAATCTACACTATATAATACGGTAGTATAAGACCCTTTTCTGGCTTTAGGAGAGATAGATTTTGTCGAATGGTATGAAATTTAAAGGGAATTTCATGGAGAAGTGACAAATTTCTATTTTGATCCTTAAATTTCTTTCACAATATTAATAGCGTCATTGAAAAAATTGGCAGGTTTCAAAACTCAGATGGTTTTAAAGTAAATGTATCAAGATGGTATAAATTGTGTTTTAAACAATTTGACATGGTCGTTAAGACTATAATTCCACAGGAACTATCAAGCCCTGCTTTTTAAAGTTACATAATGTTCCGTTTTCGAGATAAATTATAATTCTTGCCGAAAAGGTAGATGATGAAGAATATTTCTATGATCCCTTGGGCAACTCAGGTAATATAGAGAGAAATATTTTGATATATTTAATAAATAAAAAATATCCTGGTAATATAATATAATACTATTAGTGAGGGAACTACAAACTGAGGCCCTAATGCATCAAACAAATAAGTCTTCAATGAGTACAATAATGGATTAGTATAAGTTCATGGACAGCTGTGTCTAATAGCTCAACTATTAAACTGGAGGAATATTTTCCAAGGGAACAAGCTAATCACTTTAAGTAAATTGTTATTTTAAATTTTGTGTTGAGTAGGCTATCTTGATCATATTATATTGCATATACAAATAAATATGTTTCACTAATGTCACTTATACATTTAATGCATTAACGCAAGGGATAGCTACCTAAATTGAGAGTTCTCACTGGGTTATACTAATATAATGTTAAATAAAAATATTAAAACAAATAAATATTTACCAAATAGATTTCCCAGAAGAATCAAAAGTTTTAGATGCGATCTCTTTAATTTTAAGTGAAACTGCCCGTTTAGTGACACTTTCTGTTAGGTGATCTTTTTCAAGTTTTATTAAAAACTCTCTGACGAGGCCTGACAGAGGCAAGCTGTTTCCATGTACAAACCTAGCAAGTATCTGCAAAACTGAAAATAAAAACTAAATAATTTTTCAAATATTCAACAAACGATAACAAAGTTCCAAGCAATATTTTTTATAAATTTAAAATTACACACCAACAACAGGGAATGGTTTACTCTTTGCTTGAACGAGCGTAGGACTTTCTTCGATTTCTGGACCAGTCATATCAATCGCACCACCTTCTTCATTCCAAACCGCTCGAAACCGCAGAAGAGTTTCATAAAGGCTGCCTATAAAAAACATAAGTTAAAAATAAGACTAGAAATAAATAAATACAAATATTTTGTAGTTGATGATTAATTTTATATTCAAATCCCAAGTGTGGCTTTCCCTGGCGGACGGTCACCCATCCAAGTGCTAATCACGCTCGGTGTTGCGTAACATGGTTACCTATTGCAAGCGCCTTAGCCCGCACGTCTACCCCAGCCCATATATCTGTATATATTCTACTCCTCTGTAAAAAATTTAGGACTATTTATTGATCAAACCCTCTCCTGGAGTCACCATATTTCTCACATCTCCCGACGGACAGTCTCTACCCTCAAACTATTCCATTGCTTCCGCCATCTCCTACCTCAACATACGCGCAGACTCCTCGTTTCCTCTCTCATCTTCCCCCACTTTGACTACTGCTGTGTGGTGTATGATGGACTCTCGGTGGAGCTCCGCGACAGACTGAAAAGAATAATGAACAGTTGCATGAGATTTGTAATTGGTGCCCCGAGATACTACCATGTCTCTCACCATTACACTGAGTTAGAGTGGCTCTTCCCCTCCATTCGAAGACAATATTTCCTAGGTACATTCCTCTATCATATCATCAACAATCATCGTCCTTCCTACGCCTACAATCTTCTCCAATTCAAGTCCTCAGTCCACTCCCTCTCCACAAGATCTCGACCTTCCGACCTTTACATTCCTTCTCACAGATCTGCCTCGTTCCAAAACTCCTTTATTGCACGTTCTGTTAGTTTCTGGAATTCCCTTCCAATCAAAATTCGACATTCTTCATCCTTATCTACATTCAAAACCCTCCTATTCCAATTCCTGTCCCAAAAACAGTCAGGCACCAGCTAATCTTTTATGTAAAATTACACATTATATATAAGACCCTATTCACATATAGCTCATGACCTGAATACTTATTATAGATTCGACTTTCTTTTTCTCTTTTTTTTTTTTTTTTTCTGTTTCAACAGAAACAGATTTTACTGTTAAGAAGAATATACATTTATTTTTTCTGTATTTTTTATTTTTTCTAAAAGGGTTTATTTATATTTTAACATCGTACATAGTTTTAAATATCTTAGTATGGTTTCAAGAGTCTTTTATATAGATTTTTATATTTTATTTTGTATATAGTATGTATAACCAATATTTTTTTTCTTTTCTTTTCTTTAATGACCTATCATTATCTTAATTTGTTATGTTTGTTTTTATCTGGCCAGATGTAAAATTTTAATTTCTGTACTTTTTTGTTATTCTGAAGGGACTTCGTCCCAGAATAAAATTATTTTTCTATTCTATTCTATTCTATTCTATATATATATATACATTTAATCATAATAACCGTAAATTGTACAGTTTTTAAGTTATGCGCAAATAAAGTTTCGTTTTCCTTCATAACCTTTTTCCTGACTTTTCTGAGGAATATCTAATATTTTGCATCAGAAGGAAAAGATCATCTTAAAAATTATGGCTCAATCAACACGTTTGAGAATATACGAAGGTAGGCCAATGTTGTTCTGGTTTCCATAGAAACCAGTACACTTTCAGTTTTCACGAAAAAAGTTTTAAAATATTCTTTTCCTTTACAATTACAATTACCGAAAAAATAGAAAATGATTCCTTATGATATATTGAATTATTTAATTTCCTTATAATTTTGAATTATGTTTATTGACCAATATTCTTTGTGAAATATTGGCTAGGGCCAACTAGTATATAGTTCGACTGTCTTTTCTGTAGTATATACTTATACTATATTGTATATACTTATAAGTAAATTGTATACTAATAGTATACTTATAAACTTAATCTTTTCTAATATATACTTATAGTCACAATACTGCCTTCAACAGTGTCAGACCTACAACATAGGTCGAAAAGTAACAAAATATACTATTATATAATATAGTCCAGTACTTTTTGGTCGCACCCCCGAATAACTTCTTCTGAAACTAGTATATATTTCATTATTTTTATGTTATTTATTTTTTCTCATCTTGTTACTAGTAAGTCAACTCATCTAATGATTGTAGATAATTATAATTAACAAAATAAAAACATGGATATAGTTTACCTGCGCTGACTTCAGTTGTGCCATTGCTGATCCAAACACAACCCAAAAGGCGAGGTTTTAATCTTTCTGTTTTACTTCTCATTTCTTCGTCAAACTCCTGTTTCAATAATTTCATTCGTAGTTTCAAATTTTCAGGGTCCTAAAACGTATAATATGTAATGATCAGATAAAAAACACTAGTTTAATTATGAACAGTAGCTATATATTAATAATCATTCACTATTAAGAGAAATTGTAGAATATTATATCAATGCCTTAATTACTAACAAAGTCAATAATCGAATAAAGAAATCCTTTGAACAGACTATACTAAATTGTACTGAACACAGCAAATCAAACACTAAAACCTAATTATAAACACTTAGAATAAAACAAAGTAAATAAATATTATTATATCAAAAAATTACTAACATTTTCATCAACCTCCTCGTCGGGGTGCACTTCTTCATCGCTTAGATATCCGTGAGGGACAAAAGTATTATCCAACAAATAACCATTTTCCCCACTATTTTGGTTTTCTTCTTCTTCACCTTGTTCTTCATCGGAATCACCCGCTTTATCAATATCTTCTCCTTCTCCTTCGTCTTCCCATTCTGAATCCGAGTCAACTTCATAATCAAAAGTTTTCTATAAAAAAAAAAAAAACATATATATATATATTAAAACTTACAAAACATATATAGATTTACAGTAACAATTTATAGTTTAGTTCTATGGTACAGGATGTTTCCTGTTACAGAGTATACAGTTTCAATTTTTTTGACTCAGATAAATCAAAATAATCTTGCAACTCAAAGAATATCTGATTATAAAATGTGTGGACATATTTAAAGTTTAAATGAAACAATAAAATCTTGATTTGTAACCAAAAGTTAAACAAGAAAAACAAATGATATAAGAGTACCAATGTACATACAAATCAAGGAAAACAAAGGTTTTATTTACAGAACTTTTATTTTTAAAAAACATTTATTTATAACTCCTACAGATTTTAACAAAAATTCTATGTAAATAATGACTTTTATTCTTAGCTACTCAAACTAGCGACACATTGGAATTAATTAATTTAAGATAAATTATAATTCTTATCTAAGCCCAATTACTGTTTAATACTCATTTAACATAACTTTTTTTTAAGAACTTAAATAAATGAAAGTTATATTTTTATCATAAGGCAGGGCTTCCAGAACTCAGTCCTTCGGCAAATAGTCTCCAAGATATTCCTCGAAATTCCAGAATATCGCCCCACCACCTGGGAGGTGGCAAGGCAAACTCCCTTTGGTGGACTTGTTCGCCAAAGGAAGGGGTCTGGACCCTGCAGTCCAAACTCAACAAAATTATAAAGAATATAAGCCAGCAGAAGAAAAATAGATTGGATACCTTATCAAGACCAAGAGGTTTTCGAGGTCCCACACAACTACTTTTTTTCCTCCAAGTACCCCAGTAAGGAGGGCGACGATTATCATGAAACTGCAGCAGCTTAGCTTTCATTTTCTTTTTGTTATTGATCACTTTTGTATTAGTTAAATCAATACATTCGCCATCAGCTGTAGATTCTAAAAAGATAAAAAATTAATTTAAAAAAAGTAACAAGATCAATAAAAATGGGAAATCACGACAATAAATATTATAATAGATGTGGCTTTGGTGTGCAATGTCTTATTATTCACTAATGTATCATAATTAACTAATGAGCATAATGCAAACTTAGAAGAAAGTAAAAGAAGAAAATTAAATTTTACTCTAGGACAGTTAGTCTTCTAAGAATAATGATAATGCACAATAGAAGTGCCATTTGTCAGGCATGAAATAACATGAAATAGTTGAATTACAGAGTAATGTAATCTTACGGATGGTGTGGCCAAGCAAGCTAATACGTGTGTACAGCACCACACGTTGTCTAGCAGCCTGGATAGAAGATAAACTTGATATAATAATAACAAAAGGGACTTTTTAACTTAGGCATAATTAATTTCCCCGCTCTCACTCCCTGGCCCGGGAATATCACCGTGTAGCCTAAAAGACTAGGGCAAAAAAAAAACCTTTTTGTAATTAATTCTGTAAAATGATCTAGAATGTAATAACAATGTTATTAGATAACTTTATTGTATAAGAAAGCAATGGTATGTAGTAGACATCCCCCTATATTTACTCCTTTAGTTGACATTGTGTGAGGGAATGAGAAGGAATATATAATATATAGGAACGTGAGGTTGCACTGTGAATTGTACTCAATTGTGCAGTGGACAAATTGCTCATTTCAAATCTCATATCGATAAACAATCGATAAAGAAGGAAAAAGGTCCGATCAGGTAGCAGCAGCTGGAAGACGACGCCAAGCACTTGAGGCGGAACACATACCTGGGAAGAGAGGCTACTACAAGATTTAGAAGATCAAGTCTATAGTTATAACACTTTAATAGAGTCAATTTATTACAGTTGTAAAAATAAATCATTTTGTTAGACAGGAGTGTATAGTCCTTTTATTTAGTTGTCCTATAGGCCTCACAATTGAAGAATAATAAACCAGGTGAGTCAATTCATTTAAAGCGTATTTACTAAGTCCCACATTTCAAATATATATTCTTATTGTTTCTTCTCATTCAGTGTCACGAAAGGTATTAGATTCCCGAATCCCCAACGACAGTTAAACACCCTCAAAAAGTCTATATCCAGTGACGGGGTTTTGTTTTAATAATTCAAGAGTGTGAATAACCTAAATCCACGATATAAAAGCGGAAAGCTATTCGCTATTCCCGCCAAAACAAATTATTTAACAATTAACTTTTAACATGTTATTTACAGGTATAAATAAAGCGTAATGCATAACTTCATCCAGTCAAAAAAAATTGTAATTTCAGAATTTAATACTTATTTATTATAAGCGTTATTATGTTAGGAAAGTCATATGTACCTTCACTGATCAATCAATTGCAATATATTAAGAGATTATCGACTTTGAGAGGTGTAATCTATACAATTTAAAATTGTTTCAAAGAATTCAAAGTACCTTATCTTTAATTCTTATATTTATTGAAGCGAAAACTTCTTTAGGCACGCTTAGCACTTTATTTTGTGAGTATTGAATGAGACTCAGCCCCCACGTTTGGCTATGTAACGCTCATTAAGGTAAAGTTGGCTCGAGTCAACTAATTATAATATTTGGATTAAAATATCTCAGAAACTAAAAATTGGATCTGCATCCTGTGAGCAAGGGATATGCAGCATTTCATCCTCTTTGTAATGAGCTATTATTCAAAATTGTATTTTGATGAGATTCCGTGTTAATGAGGCAAAAAGGGAAAAAGAATGTGTCAAAAACCAAATGATAATGAGTTTTTTTTTTAACATTTCGATTAAAATATTAGAAAAGCTTAGACCTTCAAACCTGCACACACATTTAGGGGGCGGGGTGGCCGAATCGGCTAACGCGTGTGCATTGCACCCCCGTTGCCCGGCAACCAGATAAATGATTCTATGATATAAAAATGGTCACGAGTTCGCGTCCCGGTGGCAGAGGGGATTTTAAATTCCTCGCCCTCACCCTCTGGTCCGGGAAAATCCCATATAGCCTAAAAGGCAAGGTAGGGAAGAACAGAAAAAAAAAAAAAAAAAAAAAAAAAAAAAAAAAAAAAAAAAAAAAAAAAAAAAAAACTGCACACACTAAGCGAAGCAAATTTTTAGCATTTCATCCTCCGTAATGAGCTATAATTCAAAATTGTATATTGACATGACACCAAGTTAGAGCCAAGAAAGGAAAAAGATACTTACAAAAAAACACCTTTAAAAAATAATATATTAAATATAGTGAAGTCTGGAAACACTAAAATACAAAAATTTAATTCTTACGTATATTCAGAAGATCGATTGGTCAGAAGATTGCAAAATAATCGGTGTTTAAATGAAGCTGATGGTGAGTTTGTGCATATGAAGGTGGGTAAGGGAGGAAGCAGTTCTGTGATAAGGAATATACAGGTTTATAGGCTAAGACCTCATTTTTAAAGAATAGACAGAAGAACAAGTAGTAAACAACTCAATAAGGTAAGAAGGTTTTTTAATTGTAAAAGGAATATATCTTGGAAATATTGCCATGAGAGAGAACTGGATAGAGTGCCAAATGGAGAAGTGGGAGCATCTGGGGATTCCAAGAATAAAACAATGAAATAATTGATTACTCTCTTCAATCTGATCTAATGCCAAATAAACAGTTTACCATATACATAATTGAAGTGGGGAAAAATGAGGAAGAGACTAGGGGCATATAGGTTTTAAAGGGCATTAAATCATTGAGTAATTTCTGAAACATGGTTATTCCAGGACAGATATTGATAAACAATTATCCCAAGGTTTAACTTATTGGCAAAAATATTTATTTTACAGAGAATAGAGGCAATATATAGACAATGTACAAATATGTTTCGACATAAAACTAGGATGAAATAATTTGTGAAATTGTTAAAAAAAAAAATTTTAAGTGTTAACTAACTAAACTTTCACTAATCATATAATTTCATTATATGAATTATTTTCAACCACATCAAATTTAAAATAATACAATATATATTAACAATTGGGGTATTCATGCAGCTTGTAGTAAATCCTTAATATGTTATCATGCTAAGCAGTCAGCACAAATTTTAAACGAATAATAAATGAAAAAAAAAAAAAATGATGATCCTTGTGTGCTAACCTGCTAAAATATTATATCCGGGGGACCGGAAAGTAATGTTGTTTTCTTATACTGAATTCAAACACATAAATTTCATGCTAGTTTTTATTTTTGATCATTGACGGAATCAACCTCATTATCAACAACCTTTTGCCATATAGTGTGCAAATTTCCAATGCAGGATTGATAAAAATCAATTGGTTTTTGAATTAAAGTCAGCTCTACTTATTGCTGTCCCCAAAAAGCTGATAGGTCGCATTATATACGAGTGTGAAGTGTTAGCGATTCTACAAAAATAAGACAAGTGCAACGCCTTTCCACCAAAATCCAGACTTGTCCAAAATTTTTTATATTTTCTCAACTATCCTCTTAAAAAATATATTTATTTTATGTGCAATGCAAAGCTGTTAGTGAGACAATAGTAGGTCTAAATGAAATTTTCATTTCATCCAGCACAAATGAATCTACACAGTTTTTTAAGTTTCTGAAAATGTTAGTTTTTGGACTAGTCTGGTTTTTGTAAGGAGCCCTTCAATTATTTGCAACTAAAGATGTCACTACAATCTTAGACTGTCTTTGCCACGACACAGATGTACATAAACAAATAATGACATATCCAGAAACAATATTACTTTCTAGTCCCCCTAATAATTATAGTTGAAGTGAAGTTGGTTGTGGTGGTCAGTCGAAAAAATAAAAATAAATAAATATTTATTTATTTTTTTGATACACATCAACCAACTTCTCTTCAATTTCCATTACAGTCAAACATCAATCCACTGTAATTAATTATATATATATATATATATATATATATTTTTTTTTTTTTAAACTTTCTTTATTGAATATTAATACATTCTGCCACATTGAAGGGCATTAATATTAAGGCTACATGATTCATTCACACAATATGTACATACAATTACTATCAATAATAAAGAAAAAGAAATATAAAAAAAAATAAAATAAGTAAATTGGTATGCCTGTGTACAAAAAAAATAATGAAATAATAGATAAAAGCTAGATGAAATTAAAGTAAATAAATCACATTCACACCTATGTACAATATTTATATTCACCCAGGGGACTCTGAGTCATGCCTTATTCCCCGACGTGGAAGCCAAGGCAGGACTCCAGGAGATCTCAGTGCTTCTCTCTCAGCCACGACACTGTTATTTGAAACCAGTGGAAACTGATGGAGGGCACTATAGCAACAGACGCTCATGTCTTGAGTGGAGAATCTGGCCATTGCCAGTACTCCAATATATACATATTTACAAAAGGTCGCGGGGCCACTGCCGTTTTAACCTCCGGGGAGGATTGTAGGGATAGATAGAGATTGTGCTACAGGATTAATTAATTATATTAAGGTTATGGTTGTAACCAATGAAGTTTGAGAGTTCTCCTCCTAGATTGATCTAACAACTTTTTGATGCAGGGGGTATTGCCCCAAACAGATAATGCCAGATAGTAAAAGTTGATAGATAACAGTTTAGTTTTATAGTAAATGAAATTCAAGACAATCCTGTCATTCCACTACGACAGCAATCAATTTCTGTCTAATCGTTGGTGGTATATTACAGACTTGTTTTGGTAGACTGAAATTGTACGAAGAATTGAACAGTATATCAAAATTCATTATAATCTTCTCTGTGCATTTACAAAATCAGCATCACTTTATAGGACCTCAGACTGCGTTAAAATCAAGTGTGCTAGCAGCTATATTTAACACAACTTTCTAAAATAAGTTTCTCAACTTTAACACATTTAAGAGGTTTACAATACTTAGCAGTAGTTGCATGGATAGTCCTAATACAAACAAATGACAACACACAAAATAGTCAAATCTATTATTAAATATACTGACCAATTATAATAACATCATGCTCTTCTTCCTGGGATACAATGGGCCAAGTAGCTTCTGTTTGTAGTGGCAGATGCGCACCAGTTTTGAGCTCTTTCAAATATAAATCTGGACATTTTTCAATTGTGGCTGAAAGTATGTTATCTAAGTTTGCTTTCTCTTCACTGTTAATCACCCGACGGGAATTCACAGCAAGCTTCATATCAGCTTTCATCTATAATAATAAAAATTTAAAATCAACTAAAACAGTACATATCAAATTAGAATAGATTATTACAATTATATGAACAGAATGGATGGGACTTTAATAAGTTATTTTTAATAAAAATATAAGTTTTCTCGATCTCCTGTCCGACAATTTTTCTATAATTATGTAATATTTATTTTATATATATGTTTCGGCACATTGGTCATCGGCATATCTGAAAAAATACTCATTTATATACATACATTCTGCTAAACTTATAATCTTGTACATGATTTCTACTTATCTTTTACAAAATTACCTTCTATTCCAACTATCACAATGTCTTTTTTCTTGAAAAACAAATTAAATTTTGTTATCGTCTATTATCCAATAAAAAATTCCATTCCAATAACAAAATCTGTGTAGAAAGAAAATCATTCCTGAGAGTAGAAAGATTCAAATACCTCGGCTCTACAATAACCTCAGTGAATGACCAATGGTCAGAAGTAGACCAGCTTACAACAAGCGCAAACAGAGCTTTCTTCTCTCTTTCAAAGATTTGAAATTCCCAAAAATCTCAAATTAAGGACGTACAACAGTATGATTAAACCAGTATATGTATATGGCCATATATAATATATGGCTGTGAGACCTGAACTAACCAGCACCCTAGAGAAAAGTATTGAAAATTTGAGCGAAAAATCCTCTGCGAGATAACCGGAGCGATCTGTGATCAGAGTAATACATGGAAAAGAAAGACCAAGTAAGAACTGCTAACAGAATCTGGTCAATCAATACCTCATGATGATATGAAAGTACGGAAGTCAAGATGGGTATATCCTGGGCATGTAGCTCGGAGCAATCCATCTGGAAGTCACTACATAACAATGAATTCCTCAATAGAAGACCAAAAGACCACATGGAAGATCAAAAAGCAGATGGATAGATAGAATCAACTAAGATGCAATAGAGCAGCATGCAGACAACTGGAAACAAATAGTTCAAGATAGGCAGAGATGGAGTACGCTTGTTAAGGCGGCAAAAAATCTGCAAGGTCTGTAATGACAACAGGAAAAAAATATATATATAACTGTTATTATATTTGACTAGTATATTTATTATACTTGAAAATGGTCATATCTCTGAAAGTGGCTTTTGATGACAAATAACTACCTTTTTAAAAATAAACAAACCCTTCTCTCAAGGAAACAGTTTAACAGAAATGAATACATAATCAGGAAAAATTAATTCTATATGTTAATTCTAAAAGGTGTTTTTTTGTTGGTATGACATAACTTTGTCAAATCCAATGATTGACCACTCATTTTGAAGATATTCTTCTCCTTCATATGCGAAAAATAGTCCTATCCTCCCGAAATTTCTGGAAAAAGTTATGAAGGAAAAGACACTTTATTTGAGAATAACTCAAAAAGTATGCATTCTTTTCTGAATTGTACTCATGATAATTAGAAAGATTACTAAATTACCTACAAAACAAAAAAAAAATTGGAAGAATTGTTTTTTCCTGGCTGATTTTTTAAAGGCATTTGTTTGTTCTTAATTTTTTTTTTTTTTATTAATTTAGAAAATCCCATGATCGAAGCTTTAATATTTACATAAGTAAGGACATAATATCGATATATTGCAAAAAGTCATTAAGTACATTAATGATATAAGTTCATTTGCAAACATGTTTTTGTGAATTTTGACCTTATTTATCAAAATAAAAACACCTAAAGTGCCCGAAAATTATACAAACCCTTTATTTATCATATATTGTTACACTAGGTGCTCAAATTCCCGATTTCACAAACACAAAATTACTAATTATTTGAGGTTATGAAATGTCACTTAATGAATATTTGTAATAAACCAGCGATACGATGAAACTACAAAATTAAAAATGATAGCATAATCAAATAAAAATAAAAATGTACTCACTGGAAATGGCATAAACTTTATTTCCTCACTTTCATTTGGTTTCTCTGTAGTGTCAGGTTGCTGTTTTTTCTTAGCGATAAAAAAATTGACGAAAGCTGCTTTCTCTTTCTCAGTCATTCCTTCTTTTTTCTTTTTTTCTTCTTCTTTGGCTTCTTCTTTTTTGCGCCTTTCTTCTTCCTTCTGTTTTCTTTCTTCCTCCTTTAATCTTTTTTCTTCCTCTTTCTTCTTTCTTTCTTCTTCTTTAAGTCTTTTCTCTTCTTCCTTAATTCTATAAAAGAGAAAATCTTACTTAAATACAACGTATAAGATTCATGTACCATTATTATTATTACATGCATATACCAACTAAAACAAATGCAGGAAAAGACAACAAACCACCAGATATCTAACATATCCATCACTGTCATTCAATAGTCTTCAGTAGTACAATCAATTTTGATATCAATCACTAAGATTCTTTTTTGTACATACATTAACAAATCAAGTTTATATTTTAAAAAAAAGGAAAAGTTAGTGGATGTGTAGTCATTTTTTTTTTGTTCTTTCCTACCTCGCCTTTTAGGCTATACGGGATTTTCCCGGGCCGGGGGGTGAGGGCGGGGAAATTTAAAATCCCCTCCGGCACCGGGACGCGAACTCGTACTTTTTATATCATCTCAAATCTCTGTTATCCGGTTGCCAGGCAACTAGTTAGTTACACACGCTTTAGCCTATTCGGCCACCCCGCCCCCCAAGGATGTGTAGTCAACAGTCACACACATAAATGGGAGTAATATTTATTGGATTGTCTTCGTTTCAACTGAACTTCAAGGTCTTCATCAAAACAAAAGCCCCGATGACTGCTGACAGCACTTTCCCTCCCCTCTCTGACTACTTCCTCGTCCTCTAACCAAGTTCCTTTCCTTATTGAAACTTTTATGTTACAAGTGCTATGACAGCATCTCCATTTCGCGTCCCTGTCTAACTTCATTTGATGACCTTGTTCACACAATTACACGTTTGCAATTATCCCAACTTTTTGAAAACATTCAATAGCCTGTTCTTCTGAAGACGGCAATTCCCAGAATGTAAAAAGATCCATAATTTGACGAAAATAACACAAACGGGCCAAAAATAAAGAATTTAATAACTAAATGTAATAAGTGAATAACTGAATGTAATAACTGAAAAATAAACAATGTAATAACTGAAAGGTTTGGCGAGATAAGAAGAGGGAGGTTATGTGACCTAACATTAGATAATATAGATAACAAGGGAGGTTTCGTCCTGCCAAGCTAATGTATAAGTACCCATTTTTTAAAAATAACTTATTAAACATTTATAAATCTATTTCATTGTTTTATTGTGGACGTTGTACACAACTCTGCTCTGAGAATATGTATTGGAGCGAATAGAAATACACATGTTGAAGGCATTTATATTGAAAGTGCAAAGCCTTTCTTTAAAATAAGAAGGTCGTTCCTCTTAGCTAAATATATTGCGAAACTGTTAACACTCTCAAAGCATTCATTGAATCCAATTTGAAGGGAAATGTTAAAATACACAATCCAGAGGAACATGATACAACGAAGGATTATTGGATCAATCCCATCCCTGGACCAAAATATGAACCTGCATTACATTCAACAGATTCCAAACACTATGAAATCTCCTTGGTGCCATTATGATATAAATATAAATATATCACAAGCTAAAGCTTCCCAAAACTTGATGTGTCCTATAGAAATTCAAAAATTGTTCTTACAACTTTTAGAAGAATTTAAAGACTACCAAGTAATGTATACAGATGCATTGAAAGGTGAGGACAAAACAGTAAGATGTCCAGTGGTTAAAGAAAACTAAAACTTTTTTTTTTCCAATTACAGGACCCTACTCAATTTTTATGGGAAAGGCAATTGCTATAAAGGAAGCCCTTCTGCTTTGCCAAGTAGGTAATCGCCAAAAATCAGTCACTGATTCGATGAGTGCGCAATCCAAAACCAAATGTCTATACACGCAACAATATTGGAAATTTTACAACTTACTTGGGATAATAAAAGGGCAGAGATCGTAGCAGATTTCATTTGTTGTTTACAGGGAAATGAACAGGCAGACATCACATCCAGAATTGCTCAAACAGATGATTATAATGAGATAAAATTCATCGATAATGTTCTTCGACAGGACTGGCAAACGAAATCCCAGATAATAGAATAACTTGATGGAATGAGACCTAGAAAAGGAACCCTTCCAAACTATTTCAGGTAAAACCAAATAATGCTAAATGGCGTATAAGTAACAGAAAACTAAAAAGAGAAGAAATAATAATAATCCTGTGCTGCCTCAGAATCGGTCACTGACAATTTTCGAATGGCTACCTACTCCACAGTCGAGAACCACCAACCTATACCAAATGTGGTTCCTATAGAACAGTGGACCAGATACTTGTAGACCGTATACATTCTGCTATCATAAGGTAGAACCTTGACATGCATCTACATAACCGAGAAATGTTATAAGACAGAGGAAAAGATTTGGAGGCCCTAATGGATTTGTTGAAAATAATGGGATTTTACAATACAGTATACAATGATGTAAGTGAAAAAAGGGTGGCCAATGACCCTATTGGGTAGAGGCAAACCTCTTATAGATGAAGCAATACATCTATAAGTAAGTCTGTAGAGAATAACATGTACATTTTTTTAAACCTTACTTCAGTTCTGCTTGTCTTTTTTTTTCTTTTTCTTCTTTTTCTTTTCGCTTCAAATCTTCTTTTTCTTGTTTTAATTTTAGTTTTTCTTCCTTTGCTTTAGTTCTCAATGCTATTCGTTCCTATAAAAAAAAATATTTATAAATTGTTACTAACTTTCAGTATTCAAACTACTTAAAACATTCTTGAGTATTGCGAACACTTTTTTTTTTCTCATTATTAAATATATTTAAAATAATAGTAAAGTAAGCAAAGAAAACTTAACATTATATACTAAATAAAAATGGCATAGTAAAAAAACATCAACATAATGGTCATTTACCTCTGAATAATTAGCTAAGGAGCTATATCTGCTTCCTATTTTACCAATTTTTAATTTAATTTTAATTAATTTAAAAAAAGAATACCATTGATTAATTTCAAAAAGTCAAGTTTTTGTGAATTTTTACTTTATTTATGTTATTTATCAAAACTCCAAATTACAGAATAGAACATGAAAACTATAAAAAAACAAAATAAAAAAAACAGAAATACAGCAATTTTCAATATAAAACAAAAAGGGGCACATTTTTGACAAAAAACATTCGTTATATTTTTAAGCTAGATTACATTTTATTATAATTTGAGACCAGAATGAGCTCGGTAAACCTAATATGTTTCGAACCTACAGATTTTCAAAATTTGGTTGATTTTTCAAACTTGAACATTTTAAGCTATAATTATTTTCATGTTTTATTATACAAAACTGTCTTTTTATCTTCAATAAGCCCTCTGATATGAACCAGTGAAATAAACATTTATTGAATTTAACATTTTGAAGGGAGAGTGGAGGAGGAGGGAAGATTTGATGGAAGAGGGTGAGTCACTGTTTACAACTAGATGACCAAAATTGAAATACAAAATTTATTTAACAAACATATACATCAAGTGTATACAAAAGTGTACAAATGAAGCAAATAAAAGTTTAAACGAAACATGAATTATAGGTGTTCCCTCCGATTCGAAATACAAGGGCCAAATAAATCCATCTCCTTCATACCATCAATTAATACTATATTATATTATATTATATATTATAATACAATATTTCATTAGAACTTCTCAACAAGGTTTTACCTTGGGCTACGTGAACTTTGTAGATTATATATGGGTGGATCCATAAGTTCGTTTGGTTTTTGAAGGGTGAAATAAAACATTTTTTTTTATGCTAAGAATAAATTGTATTCAATAATTTAATCACTGTTTTTATTAATGACCTCTTGTCATCATTATAACAATTTTATCATTCCGCTCTCGCTAAACATCTGGGGCTTAGAAGCGAAAAACTGATCGAGCTACATTTTCATGTTTACGCAAGGTCCGGAGAATACAGTTGGTGTAATAAAACATCCCAGCCATGTTGCACTAGCATTTGCTATGTAATTATTGCGGAGTGTGATCTGGCGTTATCATGGTGGAATACAAAACCTTTGCAATTGACTGTACTGGTCATTTCTGTCCCAATGCTTGGCCCAATTTCGTTAGCTGAATGCAGTAGATCATCAAATCAATCGTTTTTCCTTGTAGAAGCAACTGGTAAAACAGTATGCCATGATAATCCCACCATATGGAGAGCAAAATCTTTTTTGTATGTAGGGCGGTCTTCAGGGAGGCATTAGGCGGTTCATCAGCAGTTGTCCATAATTTCCTGCGCACTATGGCACCCGTCATTATTCATTTAAGAAATGGGTCCCTTTCATGCCGATTTAGAAGAGAGTTGCAGATTGATATTAGGTTGGTCAGGTTTGCCACAGTCAGTTTGGGAGACACCCAAACATCGAGGTGGTACATGTAGCAAAGCTATTTTAAATGCCTTTAAACGGTTCCAAAACCTATTTTCAGTGTCTCCGCAATTTCTCGTACCTGTAGCAACCGCTCTGGTTCGATTAGAACTTTGATATCACTCAAAACAATCTTGGTGGACCGACTGCTGCGGGGTACATCTTCAAGACTCGTATCTCTAGAAGGAAACTTGGCAAAGCATTTTTGAGCAGTACGTTCTGTTAAGGCATCGTTCCTGTATACCTTACATATCTTTCATTTGGCTTTTGAAGCTTGCTTGTTATGCTTTTTTTGACATGAAAAATGAAAAAACAAAATATCATGAAAATGCACTTTATCATTTGAGATATTCACTACACTGTTGCACAAACAAAACTATGGCAATGAAACCAAATATAATAGTTTCGAAGAGCAGACTTTGACCTTTCCGCGTATCATTATTGTTAGATAAGGCAAAGAAAACCTAAGGTATTTGAGACAATTTGCACTATTAACAAAAACCGAACGAACTTATGGATCCACCCAATATATTATTACTGGAACCGACCGAATGATGTTGCCACCTGGTTGGATCAAATTTTAATTTTTTTAATACTTTAACGTTTAATAACTTATTAGTTTAAGGTTTATTTGTTATTATAATAAGGTAGCACTGCAAAATTATCACATCTCGTTTTGCAGAACTGCGCACATGTAGTTGTTGTGATGAACTTTTTAATTTTTTGAAACATTCATTTCAATGTTCAACATTCCAACCCAATAAAATTTAATTATTTATTAAATTAAGGCAATAATGACCCTGGTGGTTGATGCATTTGAAATTATTTAAAAAAAAAAAATTTTTAAAGTTATGATACTTAAAATGGTTAAATCTGTTATTTACCAATCTAAGACGTTCTCTTTCTTCTCTTCTTTTTAAGGATTCCAAACGCTTCGGGGTTAATTTTCGTGATACACTACCAGGGGAAGATTTATTTATCTAAAAGATAAAAAGTAATTACTGACTTAAATTAAATTTTAAAAAAATAATATAATAAAACAATTAAAGAAAAATAATAATAAAAAAAAAAAAAACTTACAGGACTTTCTTCTGAAGAAATAGCAAAATCATCATCATCACTATTTAATGATCTGTTAAGAGACTCATCGATGGACAAGTTTTTGTCCGCAGGATCTTCTTTAACATCACTTTCCGGGTCTACATTACTAACGTCATTTCGACTGCTGTTGTTTTCTCCACTACATTTTTCAACTGTTAAATTGTCATTACTTAGATTACTCTCGCCCCCTACACTTTTATTATTAATTGAATTCAAAACACTATCACTAATAACCAACGAAAAATCTCTAAGTGATGTATCATCTTCTTTAACTATAGATACCGCTTCTTTATTCTGTGAAGTAGATACTGCATCCTCAGTTAAATCAACAGAAGTTTCACTTTTGGAAGTATTAAGCTTCTCAGGAGTATTTTTGCTAATTGAATCTAACTCTTTTTTTTCTTCCAATTTCTTCCGACTTTCACTAAATCCACACAACGATTTACTATTAATTTCAACATTTTCCTTTTCGATTTCGGTGCAAACAATTTTATTTGCATGAACATCATCATTCAAGTCTGAACTTAGTTTCCTCTTTTGGCTTTTCAAGGTAACACTTCCAAAACATAACTGAGCTGAAAGACAAACATTTATATCAACATAAGAAAATTACAAACCAAAAAGGTAATCTGAAATTCATTATATATACCAAGTGTGTAAATATGAAATCGAAATTCATCCATTAATTGTTCTAGTTGTTGATGTATTTATCCTTAAATTGCATTATAGATGTCATTTTATTTCTTCTACAGCTAGTAAAGATTTTCAACTCACAACAATTCAAGTTTCATATAAAAGTATCATTTTAGTGGTGTTGAACATGTCGTGTTTTGTGCCTACAAATTATGATTTACAGACAGTATTAGTTTTCTACAACCATTTAAAGAAAACTGCTGCTGAATCGCATCAGATGCTTGAGATGAGCATGTTCTTGGTAAATCAGAGTGCTTTAAAAAATGTATAAGTGTTGATTTTTACATGAGACATGGAGAACGTGGCAGACCACAAAAAAGCTTCAAGACAGCGGATTGGAAGAATTGTAAAATGAAGACAACACTTAAACCTAACAATAACTTGCAGATCAATTGAATGTAAGCTGTCTCCACACGTTTGAAAGCCATGGGAAAGATTTGAATAAATGTAAGACAGCAAGAAAATCAGAAAACCATCTCCAAAATTTGCTCACCAGGTAAAAAAAAAGTCATTTCTCCATTAAATAGTGACCATGAAAAGTAGACATATTTTGAGAATTCAAAGCATAGGGAGTGGGGTAGCTCAGTGGTAGGGTACTGAGCTACCCAATGCTAAAGGTCTCAGGTTCGAATCCCAGCTCATGGCAGAAAAATTATTTATTCTGTTTCATTGGCCGTGGGACGACCTTAGGTAGGTAGACCCTCTTGGGGCACACCCAGCATCTATAAAGTGGGTATCCTTAATTAAAATAATTAATTAAGGGGAAAAACCTAGTGGTTGAGCATGATCTAGATCAAATCATCTCCTTGCACAACCGTATACCAAGAAACAGTGTTTTCTACCTAACAGTACTGAAACCAAGACCCTTCATGGATTGTAGTGGTATAGTTTTTTGTTTTCTTTAAGCATCAATAATCATGGATATCTCTAGGTAAACCATCAACATTGATCACTATAGAAAGAAAACAATAAATGTGTTTGGTGGGAACAGAAGGGTGTAATCTAATATGAACTATTAAAACCTGCCGAGACTATCAATAGTGAATGCTTTAGACGACAACAAATGATCTATTTAAATCAAGTCCTGCATGAAAAACAACCAAAATACAAAAAAAAGACAACGTAATGATAATGCACCATGACTGGCAGCAAAATCAGCAAAGGAAACGATTTAGGAGTTCAGTTAGGAAATACAAGCACACATGACTTATACACCAGATGACTATTTATCTGTATTGATGGTTCATATAAACCCATATTGATGGGGCATGAACTTGCTTAGCAACACTTCACTTCTTATGGAAACTGCTTCATTGGTTGACCACTAAAAAACAACAATTTTTCTAGTGTGCCGCTCATTAATTACAACAGAAATGAGAAAAATGTATAGCTAGTGATGGATAATATTTCATATAAAATATTTTTAACATTTTTACAAAATAAACATTTATTTATAAACAAAAATTCCAGTTACATGTTTACACACTTGGATTCATAATTACATATTCTTTCAAACAGATCCTAATCATATGCTAAAATGATTAAAGTAATCAAATAAGCATTAATTATTTACTAGAATGATTAGGGATACAAAAGCAAATAAAACTAGCTATAAGTTCTAATTACTAAGAAATTACTAAAACTACAAAATTCAGAAATAGAAGATATCTGGGATAGGCATATTTGTTATAAAAGGCATATTCAGTATAATTTCTAAGCACTATGAAAACATTACTACAAATGAAATTCATAATTAAGTCATACTTCATTCATATGATAACAAAAAACAAAACCTTGTGTTGTCAACCAAAATTTTTCAACAGTTAAAATATTAATTAAAGACAAGTAAAAATTAACAAAAAAAAAAATAGAAATAAAAAATGTTTATTACATGAAAGCCATACAATAATTGATCAAGATATAAAAGATAAAATTAAAATCAAACTATAAAAAGTTAAAACCAAACCAAATATTTCAAAATTTATTTATTACACAAACATAAGTGATCAATGAAAATATCAAAATCGTCAGAGAATTACAAAACTCTGTAATTCATAGTGATAACTAGATAATTCAGCACAAATGTAACCAGTATATACAATTCTACTAGGTACCATTAATGGGAATTACATGAACCCACAAAAAAATAAAAGGTATTAAGATTGAGACGTAGCAATTATTTTTTACTTGGTTCATATAAATTATAATACTAACTTCTATTAACAGTATTTTTATGTTTTTGAGTTCAAATAAAATCTATGGAGGAAGAATTTTTGTATCCTCGAAATACATCTTAACTGTCTTTCAACTCTTAAATGAAAAAAAATTAAAGGCAAATATATTTGAAGTAATGATTACAGAAGTAAATGAACCAGTTGTTTGAAGGATAAAATTTACAAAAAGGCAGAAATAATTTCAAAATTCCCAAGTTTATTAGTAAAATAACCTGAATCCAACAATTTAATAATTAAATATAAACAACGATTAACGCTTCAATAACATTTTATCAATTTATGATAAAAATTATATCAATATGATAATGATATTGCAGTAATGCAATAAGGTCAAAAAGTCATGCAAACATAATTTCCCTGAATGTTCCACCCATACCTTGCTTTAATTTCTTTTTTGGTGGCACATTCTCATCTTCCAGACCCATTAGAATAATTACTAACAATAAGACTCTTAACTAAAACTTCAATTCTAAACCACTCAACAGGTATCGGTATTTTCTTAATTTGACATAGTGAAATGATTTCTAATTACCGACTTAGATACAAATTTAAAATATAAAAAATAACACGATCGCGAAAAGAAAGATAAGTAAAGCGAAGGCTTAGACACAAAACTTCATTCATTAAAAAAACTAAGAATTGTAGGAGGTAATAAAAAGCAAATTCAGCGCGAAAACAAGGAAGGGATACTTGATAGTTTGTTTATCTCCTTTTCATCATATCCATAATTTCAGAACGTTTGAATGCAGTTTTCTAAAATATACATCCAAATTTTTAGAGAATTACTTTTTATAAATAGTATTTTATAATTTAAAAAAAATAGACAATTAAATAACTATTCCTTGGATATTAATTGGTTTAAATTTTATACGCTGGGAGCGCTTCTATCTTTTCTTCCAGCATGGCCGTTCAATTTCTGCAGAAATTCGTAAGTTCAGGAAATTCAAGATTTATTGGAAATTATTTAATTGTCACATTTTATAAATATGTAATTTAACTTATGTGATCGTACGACTTTATAGTTTTGACATGTTTATTGTTATAATTTTATCTATCATAGGAAGAATGTGTGCTTAACTATTTTTAGTTATCTGAAAATTATATAAATTTGTTATCAATAGCAGGTTATGTTTTCTAATTTTTTTTTCAAGTCTTGTACATTGAGTGCCAGTAGAACATATAGTACAGCATTGAGGAAAGCAACATTAATTCCTGGAGATGGAATTGGCCCTGAAATTTCTGCTGCAGTCCAAAAAATATTTAGTGCTGCTGGAGTAAGTACAATCTAATTTTATAGACATCATTTTTTTATTTTACCATTTGAATGTGGTTTTGAAATGTCACTAAATTGATGTATAAAATTATACATTACATTCATATATAATTCTTGAGATATGTTTGTAAATTTTAATTTATGTAAAGAATTGAACAAAATTATCTTAACATTACTTTTTTTTTAAGTCAGTGATATTCAAGATGTTTTTAATTAATTAAAATTAATGTTCATGACAGTCAGTGTTGTTGATTTGATCTGCTACATAAAATTATTAAAAGTAAAAATTAGTATTTATAAACGTTTGTTTCGATGTATGTCAAAGAAGATAATGGTTCAAAATTTCTATTTATGAGTTCAACTTATTTCAACAAATTGTTATAATTGGGTCAGTAATAATAATGGGTTTCTAGTAAGTAAATATGATTTTCTAACATCAGAACACTTTCAATATATTATAATATCCCGTTACTATAAATTAGTTTGGTTTTTCAATAAATTAAAATTCTCGTCTTGACCAGAATCTTCTTAGCACTTCAATGAGCTTAGGTTTTTAACATAAAGCACTGTAAATTAACCAGAACTGCAATAGTGCTGAACTTAACACTTACAGGGAATATTACTTGAACACTAGAACATATATGGTGACTTATAAAAATCTAATCATAAGACAAAACTAGGAAATGTCTTTTTCCGTACCTGGCCTATTCTGGTATACAGGATTGATTTATAAGGAGAATCAATACTGTGCAGGATTGATTTATCCTACAAGTAACCAACCTATTCTAACCATAATGGGATGGTCGAGATTCTCTATGTTAAATTTTCTATGAATTTTAAGTCGTTCCAGGATGTTGGAAACAAAGAAGCTTTAAGTTAAGTAACAGTTTACTCTCCCAAAAAAGTAAGTTATCTTTATTTTTCATGATGTTCACTTTATTATCCATCTTCAGACCATATCTCATCTTTCTATCATCTAATTTTTTTAAAAAGACTCGTCATAATTTATATTTTTATAAATTACCTTAGTTGTATTGCGAACTCCTCTAGGGAGAGCCTAGTCAGACACTGAAGGATATGATCTGAAGATGGGGGATAGTATAGTGATCCCAAAATGTCATAAAAAATAAAGAAAATTATTTTTGGAAGAGTAAACTAAATAAAATATTTATAAAAAAAAAATTATTATTATTTGGTATTGGAATCTTAATTAAGCTGGGTAACTTATCAGTTTTTTATTATAAACCACAGCCACTTAATCTTGCTGTCATATAATCCATGTATTTTATGTTTTATTTAAAACAGTTCTTAATCAATTTATCAAAAGCTGCCTAAAACAATATTGAAAAAAAAATGTATATAAAGACTTCATATTGTTTTGCTATTAAATGTAAAAAAACAAAATGCAGTGAAACTGTAGTGTATTAGTTTGTTAGAAACTGGTTGTTTAATTGTGTTAAATGAGTTATTGATTATAATTTAGTGATAAAGTTAAGATTTAGTTTACCATTGACCAAATAACTAAGTTAACCATTTAGCTGAGATGAAAAGGTAAAATCAAAATTTAAAACTTTCCTTTCTGTCCTTACGAGGGGATTTCTCCTTTAAAAAATTCAATATAATCTTTATTATAAAACTAGATGGTTCTTTTAGAACTATCATTCCCTTGATATCTTACAATATAAAATAATAATAATAATGTTAAAACATCGATAGAGTCAACTAAAAAATGACTTAAGAGTTTTCATATGATACATTTTTCTCTAAACAATCTCTACTTCATCTGATAATATAAAAATAACTGTTCCTTTTTTATTTTCAAATTGTTGACAGTCAAAGTTGAAAAAGGTTACTATCTGCAGAGATTGTGCTACAAATGTGTATAGTTTATTATAGGAGGGCTGCGAATTACCTAATGACTGACCACTAACTTTTGTTATAGCATTTTACTGTCATTAATTTGTATAATTTTTTTTTTTTTTTTAAATACTGGAAAACCTCAAGCTACCAGACCTCTCCCTTTACTAATCAGTTATGATCTTGGTTTTTTAAAAAATCGTCAGTTGTGAAAAACCTAAAGGTATTAAATTAAGTACAAACGGATATTGTAATCTATTTAATTCCTAACGAGCAGTAATCAGTAAGATAATAAACTTTCATCTTAATTCATGTCTAAAAAGCTTAGAGATAAAATTGATTGTTTTTAATCCTTCAAATCTTTCTCTCAAGGTGTTAGTTCATTTAATTTTGGCCATTAAATCACCAACTAGTTATTTATTGGGAGAAAATTAAACTGTCTATTTTTACTTGAATATATATTTTGTTATTATCTCATCAAATTATTATATATTTTTCTCATATTTTTCAGTTTAAATTAAAAAATTGCCTTTTTTTTATTATGTTTTACCTATCTGGTCCTGTTACACCTTTCCCATCACTTTGGTAACTTTAACTATTGCTAAACATTTGTTGAGTACATCTATCAGTTCTAGTAATCAATTTTTACTATTTATATTTACTTTTTTTGAAGTGTTCATTCTAATTTAAAAACCTATCAAGGATGGTATTAATTCTGTAATTGACTAATCTCAGTTAACCAAGTGTGAATCAAGTCATTATTCATATAGATCAATCTTTAAATATAAATAAATAGTATTGAGAAACAATTAAATTTAGGTCAGATATAAACAAAACTAATTTACAGATGTTTATGACCTTGAAGTTTTACACCTTTAGGCTCCAACAAACAAACAAGAATCAATTATTTTCTGTAATATACAAATGATGAATTTTCGTCACGCGGACAAATATATGTTAAGATAAAGGTGCATTTTACTGACAAGTTATCTTTAGCATTCTAATTTTAAAAAAAGATAAATAACATTTGTATTATTACTCTGAACTCTCGTCTTACCCAAAATTTTGTTAGCTACAGTTGATAACGTATATAAGAGAAATTCTTTTTAAGAAACATTAGTAACATCTTAATAACTCATGTTTTAAACAATGTTTTTTATGGTGAAAACCCGCATTAGGTGTTCAGAAAGATAAAGTCAGTTAGCTGCCAAAGTAGTCTGTTCTGAGACTGTTTCCAATTTGAAAAAATTGAAAAAAAAAGCTCAACTGTATTTCTTAATTAATAATATTTGCATGATTGTAGTTTCTTATATTTTTTTTGTTAATTTCTTTTAGGTACCGATTGAGTGGGAAATAGTTGATGTCACACCTGTAAGAGGACCAGATGGAAAGTTTGGAATACCTCAGTCTGCAATTGATTCTGTTAACAGAAACAAAGTCGGACTTAAAGGTCCACTGATGACACCAATTGGTAAAGGCCATAGATCTTTAAACTTGGCTTTGAGAAAGTGAGTAAAGTATTTAATTTAAATTTTATGGAAAAAGCTAATGAATGTGTTTTTTTATACTACCGGTTTATTGCAAAAAGTCACTAAGATCATTTTTTATATAGGTTAACTTTCAGATATGTTTTTGTGAATTACGACCTTATTTATCCATACAAAACATAATAAGTGCATGGAAATGATACAAACCTTTTTATTTAACATATATAATTATTCTAAGTGCACAATTTTCTTATTTCACAAAGGAAAAATTCACCAAAGTTCTCAATTATTTCAGGTTATGATGTGTCACTTTATGAATTTTTAAAATAAACCGATGACATATATATTTAGGTGGTTTGATTATTATAAATAAAAACCTTTTTTTTCTAAATAACTTCAGACGGCTTTCTTGTCATATGTACCATCTTGTTTTTGTTTTTTTAATAAGAAAAAAATTGTTAGTTATATATGTACTAAAAGATTCTTTGTACTTCTGATTTAGCTGATCGGGACGGACTGCTATCTGCGTATGTTTATAACCTGAACACCAATAATACCTACCTTTGTATTCATATATAAGAAAATTGAAATAGACAAATAACAAATGTACTAATAAGAAAACACTTATTTTGTATTTTATTTATTTCGAGAGACAAAATTCAACAAATATAACACTTAATACATTCAATGTATATACGTTTATACTTCATACAAGATATATACATATAAAACACTTTTATTTTACATTTCATTTATTTTGGCAGACTAAATAGCTTAATGCTATTTAAAATAGCAAGAAATGGATCCTCTTCTCTGTAAGCCTGCCGCCACAAAAATTCACATGAATATGAATCCAGGTGTTGCCTCGTAGTTCCTTGATGTTTTTTATTTCTCCACTTAGCTGAGCCACATAATCATTCTACGTGTTGAGTTTGGACCCCGCTTGAAGGATGAACAGAGTTATACAGGTGATTCACCTAGAAATGATTATACTTTGCTTCAATCAGTTGTTGGGTATTATATCCTTTCCAACAGTCAGAATATATGTTGCTTGTCTCTTCTATATTATTTTTAATACATTCTAATAAAGTTGTTGCTTTTCGCTCCTTTATTTTAACCATGAAATCCCCTCTAACCACATTTCTTTTCTTATAGATACGTTTTTCCTACAACTGTTACAAAAACATTTCCATTTGGTCTTTCTGACAAACTTCATTTCATGACCTTCACAGAATTTCACCTTTAGAATTATCCCAAACTTCTGAAACTATTCGATAGCTTCTCCTTTCTTCTGAAGAAGGCAATTCCCAAAGTTTAATAATGCAAGTAATGGAAGGATAACAAGAGGTTACACGAGATAAGAAGGGAGGTTCCGTCCTTACCAGCTAAGTCACAAGTACCGATTCTTCATGACGCTGTTGACATGTACTTATGTGCATATTTTCATTGTTAACTAAGTAAATATAATCAAATTTTGAAATTGTTTGTTATTTGAAAGTTTTCATTATATTGTTAAGTATCATTTATTTAAAAACAAATAGTTATTTTATTTTTTTTCAGATATAATTAATATTTATCGTTTTCACTTTATTTGTTTAGAGAATTTAACCTTTATGCGAATGTGAGGCCATGCCGTTCAATCGAAGGATACCCTACACTCTATGAGAATGTCGATGTTGTGACAATCAGAGAGAACACAGAAGGTGAATATTCGGGGATAGAACATGAAATTGTGGATGGAGTCGTTCAGAGTATCAAGCTTATCACTGAAGAAGCATCAATGAGAGTTGCTCAGTTTGCTTTCAAATTTGCCAAAGAACAAAATAGGAAGAAAGTGACGGCTGTTCACAAAGCCAATATCATGTAGGTTAAGTTTTATCTTTTTAAAAAATAAAAATATTAATATATCGATAAACTTTATATTTTGTAGTGATTATTTTCGTTGAAGCTTTTTCCTGTTTGTAGAGTACTTATACTTACTGATATTACTTTTAGAGCTTGATGTTATGAGACTAAATAATATGTTATTATATAACTTAATAAAACATAACATAAAACTTCTTTATTAACAAATGTTAGCTTAAGGGGCATGCTGGTTGAGCGGGGTAACACGCATTAAAAATACGCGTTGCCCTGCAACTTGATAAACTGAAGATTATGAATTTCCTGTTGCTAGGGGCTTTTAACTCTAGCAATAATCCCCACCCTCCCCCTGGCCCAGGAAAAACACCATACAGTGAAAAAGACCGGGTAGGGAATAAAAAAAAAAAGTTGAGATCTATATTAAAGTAATAATAACTTAATTTTTCTGCATAACCTTCAATTTAATTATAGGCTTCTTATTCAAATAAGCCTCTTCACCTAGGACTGATCATTGCTGTTCTTCTCTTTGCTCTGCTGTTCTTTCATACTGGTCCTTTTCTGTTTTCCATCATTAAATCCCAAAATGGGTTTGATGTTTTTCCTGCTCCTTCCTATAATACCACCACTTCCATATCCTTTTTAGACGATACAACCTCATGTCCACATTGGCTGGATCTCATTCTAAATTTTTTTGCAATGTATAGTTTCTCCCACAGCCAAGTCTCAGAGATGTTATGTCTTTTAATCATAACTCTGGCTCTGCATCTGGCTGTTTTCCATTATTTTTCATGTTTACCTACGTTACTTTATTTACTTCGTTTTTTTTTTTTTTGTTTTTTTTCCCTCGCCTTTTAGTCTGTACGGGGGTTTTCTCTGGCAAGGGAGGGCCAGAGTTAAAAGCCCACCTTAGTACTGGGATGCAAACTCTTTATTATTTTATCATGTTTATCTTCTATCCGGGTTGCCAGGCAAACTCCGTCAAGTTTCTCGTCTGCTTGAGTCTCTTTGCTAAAAATATCATTATTTTCATCAGAAATAGAAATATTCTTGATCAGAGCAATGATGTACTCGTCTTTTTCATCCCCAATCTTAGTTAATCCTACAATACTAGTTCTTAATATTGCATCCTGTCACCAATATTTCATTTCCAGATTTATAAATTAATTCAAATTGATTTCTCTGTAGTCATAATAAAAGATCGTATAGCATGTGGGGGTGTAGTTCCAATTAGTTTTTTTATGAATCATTCCCAAGGGTTTATGGTTAAATTCAAAAGCCATAAGTATAGTTGGGAAAATTCTCACATCCAAAAACAACAGCCAGCATTTCCTTCTTAATATCTTCATACTTTTTCTCAGTTAACTTTTTACTCATAATGTATCATTTTTACTTTTTTTTTTTTTTTTTTTTAATTAATTCCTTTCTTCACCATTTCTGTGATATGGGGTAGTTGTTCTAGAGGTTATTCTATAGTTTTGGTCATACCATTTCTTCAACAATAAGAGGAAAGTGATGCTATTTATATTTCTCACATTTCCCTACCTTTAAGACAATACGGGTGTTAGCAGCTGTGAGATAATAAGCATGCTTGCAAAACACGACTCTGCTGCGACTGAATTTTGTTCATTAGTTGTGCATAAAGCTTGATCTTCATCGTTCTTTGGTTTGGTCGCCGCTTTCTTCTATACTAACCAAGAAGAAGTAGATTGAAGCCCCTTCCATTCATATACAAAGTTCTTAAAATGCGGGTAGTTCAGTTTAGTCATCAACTGAGGGACCTGATTTTCTATCAGAGTTTATAACAATATTCAAATCCTTTCGATCCATGCACAGCCTAATAATACCAATGAGCACACTTCCATTGTGCTCTAAAAATTTTATAGTTTCTCTGTTCCTTAGAGAAAATGGTATCTGGGGTAGTTTCAAGTGTGTCTCCTCCCCTTCAATTTTTAAATCTCCTGTAATAGATCAGTTTTATTAAAATTTAAATTACAAGGTACTTTTCCGTTATTTTTTTTTAAAATTATTTTATGGTAAAATTTAAATTAAAAACATAGTGGAAAAAATTATTTATTAACAAGAAGATAATTATTGTAAAAATAATGGATATCTTTTATAATTGAGGTAAATGGATCCGTTGCTCTAATTTTTTGGCACCTCATAAATTTTGCTAAGTACGAATCTAGTAAAGTTCTGTGGTTTCCACGAATTTTTATTATTTTTACATATTGCAGAACCTCATATTCCTTCTACTTTCTGATTATTGGAAAAAGTTTCACCATTCGCGAAATTATATTTGTGATTTACACATTACACATATTCCACAGAAATTGCCAATTCCTTGGGTCACTCATTCACCCATGTCTCAGTATCCAGTTTGAAAGACAAAGCTTGCTCAGATAATTTTGGCTATAACTAAAAAGTTTCCAAGGCATAGAATTCCTTTTGAGTTAAATCGTCGTCCTTGCTTACTGATCTGTTCTACAGCTGGAGACTGACAATACTGTACCAGTCCTCTCTGCACATTGCTCTGCTCCTCCAATTGCTTATAATGTTAAATGCCTACCAAGTTCTTTTTGACTTCTTGGACCCATCATATCCTACTTCGTCCTTCCTTTCTGATTCCAAACATTCTTTTGAGTAGAGTTCTTTATTGCAGTTCTGCTCCCCTCCACGTTTAGTATATGACCCAATTATTCTATTCTTCTTATTTTCATAAACTGTACTATGTCACAAGACCCATACAATTCCTTTTAAATAAAATTTCCCTTTCAAAACTTTTTAAAGCCTGTATTGTGGAGGTACAGTGTGTGCGTGCGTGTTTCCACTCAGTATGTCACATTATTAATGTTTTGTATAGTTTTTTTTCTTGAGATAACATTGCTGACCAAAAAAGTTATAAATTGAAGAAATGAGCTCGGTTACTTGTCATAATCCTTTTTTACACCTATGTCGAAACTTTATTTTCACAGTTGAACTCTGGACCCAGATAAATAAAATTCTTCATGTTTTTAAAGGAGTTTCCTTCTATCGTCAGGACTTTTCTTCTTCTTAATCTGCACCTTTTTACAAGTACTTCATTTTATTAACATTAATTTTTAGTCTTAATGGTTGTATCATCAGCTGTTGATAGCTCAGACATAGGAATATGGTATTGTTTATTTCATGCTATTAAGCAGATATCATCTGTGTGATCATTATGATGAATGCAGTATACCTCCATTAATGTTTATTTTCTTACAGTTCATTAAAATTTGAAGATCTAGATTAATTATTACATCTAGTCTAACTCCTACCATTACTGAAAAGCTACAACTAAGAGCTTCATTAATATATATATATTAATATACCTGTTAGCCCATTGGTTTGACTTAAAATGAGGCACAGCTATTCTCTGCCACTTACATTTGCTCCAATTCTCAAGCAATTTCCAATTTTTCCCTCAGGGGAGATGTATGCATATGGATATGTATGTATGTATGTATATATATATATATATATATATATATATATATATATATATATATATATATATATGCATACATCTCCCGTGAGGGAAAAATTGGAAATTGCTATATATATATATATAGCTATTCCCTGCCACTTACATTTGCTCCAATTCTCAAGCAATTTCCAATTTTTCCCTCACGGGAGATGTATGCATATATATATATATATATATATATATATATATATATATATATATATATATATATATATATATATATATATATATATATATATATACATACATACATACATATCCATATGCATACATCTCCCCTGAGGGAAAAATTGGAAATTGCTTGAGAATTGGAGCAAATGTAAGTGGCAGAGAATAGCTGTGCCTCATTTTAAGTCAAACCAATGGGCTAACAGGTTTCTATATCACAGAAAGATCCTTACGGGGTCGGAGTGGACAAATGATTTGAAATTAAACATTAACTCTGCTCCTCTTTTTGGAAATCCAGGAACGTGAAGCCAGATGAATATAGATATAGGACCCCTCTGCCAAAAATTTGGGTGAGATTCAGAAACCCCAGCACATGTACTGGGAAAATGCACATGTCCAAATATTATGCTCCTTGTCACCCTCCGGCTCAATAATGTAAAGCATCGAGTTGCCGAATTCCTGAATGCAAAAAAGTATAGATGCTTCATTGAAGTATATTGCATAGATACAGAAGGCTCAACGAGATTTGTAGATATCTTAGCCTTTAGTGTGAACGCTCTGGTATACCAGTGAGGTTTACCTGTACAGGTAACTCAAAGTGTGTGTGCCAGCTGGTACAGGCCTAATCACGGGAGGGATTTTCACTTCCTGCGTAGGCATCTAGACCTGAACATGTGTATGAGTCACTCTGGCATACCTGTACAATTTTTAGGTTAATTAGTAAAGTTTTAATCAAGTAAAGCAATCGCATCTTTGTGTTTGCTCACCATCTCTCGACTGAATTAAAATCTTCCGGTTCACCGTAGTCTGTGTATTCACTAGTCTCCTGCAGAGGTATTCCTTTCTGGTTTACCTGATAGGTATATCATAATATGTGTGCCCGTCCCTAAACCACATATCTAATTATTTCATAGAATAAAACATAGCAATAGTCAATTAACAATATATGAAGGTTGATTTTATATTTCCAACATTTTTCCGTTACTTTTCTCTTTACAAAGTTCTGATCAACTGTTCCTCTGTTTTACAGAAACCACATTGATACTTTGTATTTTCTCCAAAATCATTAAGCCTTCTTAACAACATATCAATGAATATATTATTAATTGATTCAGCAACTTCTAGAAATTGTGTTTCCGAATCATTTATATTGTCTAATTGTATGCCTAATTTGAATCCACATTTCTTATATTTAATAAATCATTAAAATATTCCTACTATCTATTGTGTACATTTATTCTGTTTTTATCTATCTTTACTTCTTCCACCTGCTCAATTTTTCTTTATAAAAACTCCTCTCTACTTTCATAATTTTGTGTAGTGGATCATTGGATATATGCAGCTAATCTACGTTCATTCCTTTGGCCTCATCTCTCTTATCAGCTCTTCTACAGATTCTTCCACAGCTATTTAAGTTTAATCTATCTTTCCTACAATTCCTCATCTCTAGTTTCCTCTAAAATTTCTTTAGACTTATTTACTGATTCTTCAAAACTGTTACAAAAGTCTTGAAATTTTTCTGTTTCTCATTTTTTCACATAGATGCTTTCTGTTCTTGTTGGTGTCATTATGAAGAGAGAATTAGAATCATCTTGAAACTGTATGAGAAAAACTCTCGGTCTCTATTTGTGTATTGAGGTCTCTTGATATAATTTTGACATCAAATACAATATTATAATTTGATGTCGAAATTATATTAGTAGTCAAGTATTAGCAGATAAAGGATCATAATTTTATCATTTATATATTGCATACCCTCAATAACCCATACTGGTAAAATCTCTGTGTTTTATAATTGTATTCAATACAACTAATAAATGTCTGTTCCTGCGATATTCTTTTATATAACTTACTAAGTTTCATAAAACTTCCTTATTGACAATACTTAGGATGAATAAAAGTAATAATAACACATGACAATATATCTTATTTCAAGTAACCTATCAGAGCCTTATTCAAATCAGAACAGAACATATGTTAATACCATATGATCATATTAAATTGCATGTTTGTTTAATAATGGTCATGCAGTTATTTGTCGAATTAATTAATTAAATATTTAAGTTTCTCTTTATTTTACTATATATTATGTTTTTCTAGTAATAATTCAACAATCTATTAGCTTATTTTCTGCATTGCGTTGGTTGGTGGGTGCGCTCATAGATGAAATAACACACTAATAAGAAACCTTATTATATTCTGTGTCAATAATTCATCCTATGTTTTAGAACTTCGTCAGGGCGAAATGCAGCAGAAACTAAAAGCAATGGCATCTTCACACTTGCTTTTTGATCCTGATGAAGTTCTAAAACATCGGTCGAAATGTTGATAATTATTAGTGTGGACTTCATCTTTGATCACACCTCCCTCCCCCTACTTCTCCTAAACTTCTTCTAGGCTATTGTCCACAATACATTCATCATTAATAAAATATTAATATATTTCTTAACTGATTTAAGGGGAACTGAATATTGTATATGACTATATTGAGCTTAATTTAGTAATTTTTATAACTTATAATAGGGATATTTACTAGGGAGGGAGGAGAGAAAGAGAGAATTCATATAGTCTTTTCCTTATTTACTTTTTTAATTTAATTTTCTTTATTTTAATTACTTATATTTATTTCTCTTTTGTATGTATGAATGAATAGTCGTAGCCCCATACTTAATGCCCTTCAATCTGACAGATTGTCTTAATATTCAATAAACTTATTACAAGAAAAAAATGTAATTTTAAACAGTTAGTATGAAAAAAACAACTATGCTAACCTGCATAAGTTTTATTAACTGTAATAAGTTGAAACCTCAACATGCAATAACTTTCACCAGTTGATTTTGATGTTTATAGCTTCTTTTTTTTTTTTGAAAAATTATACCAGTTAATGAAAAATTATAACCTGAAGTATGGCCAACCTAAATTTTATCAGGAATTGTTAGGGAAAACATTATTCTCTTCAAACATAATTATGGTTAAGAGGATAATTTTGTCTTCTTTCGTTCATTTTCCATATTCCTCCTGCAGTATTTTCTTACATTCTAAAACATTAAAACAAAAATAGCTGACAAGATAATATCCCACAGAACAACATTAATGTTTATGAATTTAGATCGTTTTAACAGACTTCAGACTATGTCAAAGTTGAAGATGCTCGTGGCTATATTTATCACACATAGCACCGGTTGCATTAATACACCTAATATGTGATTTTATTTTAAATAAATTATTTTCTTGTATTCTATTAAAGAGCTTTAGGCTTTTACTTGTATTATTGGTTTTTAAAATATAGCCTGTCTCAGAAAAATATTGGATTCTTATTTACCAAATATGATATATTTAACATTACACTGTTAAGTTAAATTTCACTTTAGATATTATAATGATGTCTCATATTTAGAACTATATTTTTGTATGTGTTTAGTTAAACACAAATCTGAGTAATATTAATTAATTACTATATTATTATTAGAAATGCTTATTAATTAAATATAACCTATGATTTTTAGGAGGATGTCAGATGGGCTCTTCCTGAGATGTTGCCGAGATGCAGCGAAGGAAGTTCCAGAAATCAGGTTTGAAGAAAAATACCTTGACACTGTTTGTCTAAGCATGGTCCAAGATCCATCTCAGTACGACGTCTTGGTCATGCCAAACCTTTACGGTGATATCCTATCTGATATGTGCGCTGGGCTTGTTGGAGGTCTGGGACTCACACCCTCTGGAAATATTGGAACTAATGGCGCATTATTTGAATCGGTATTAATTCTAATATTTTTTTTTCATTTTATATTTTAGTTATAAACGAGAAAACCACATGTTTTTTATATGTTACTTAATAAAAATTACGTATACCCTTATGTGTACTCTTAATTAAATAATTAATCGTTGAGGAAAATAGGTGGTTGAGCGTGATCACGGCCTGATCACCTCCTCCCTGCCCAACCGTTGGCCTTGAAATAATAAATCCTTAGAAAGTACTGAACTCAAAACACTGTGGACTGTAGCAGTACATGTGTCTATAATTAAAATGACATATTTTAATTATTTTATTTTATAATATAAAACTAAAATTATAATGCTAAATTATTATAATAATACCAATGTTTTTCAGATTTTTGTTATCTGGTTATAATTACTTTTTTTCTCAAATTAATGATTTGATACTATTGAATTAATGTGAGGATGACTGCAGAGACAGTCGGTTAATTGTTATATACTATCGATCTTTCTATTAAGAGATTCTAACCACCAAATTTTTAGTCTTGAAACTTACTATTCATGCTAATTTGTTTTTCTTTTTTTAAAATAAAATAACCTACTTTTAAAATTATTATCTTACACTGGATGAATGTTTTATTATTTTTAATTGTATTTTTAAAACTATAAAGATTATAAATAATTGTAGTTATGGGAGGACTGAGAGATAAAATAAAAATGATCTAATCCAGGGTTGCCTAATTCTTCTTTTGCATCTCCTTAGTGCTAGTTGTGTGAAGGAAAATAAACTTTTCCTCTACATACATTTTCTAATGATTCGCTACTAATTAAAACTTTATGTGATAATTTTTCCTGTTACAGTGAATCAAAAATCATGATTTTTGTCAGGTTATGACATTGTTGTAGCCAAGGCTTGAAACTTTTTCAAAAAAAATTTTAAAAGTCCTAAAAAACTTTTTTAATAAAATTCTGAGCGTGTTGTAAAAGTTTAAATTTTAATTATTCATGCTGGATAAGAAATAAGTGGGATTAGATTATCAACATAATTTTTTTTTATTTGAGTTACTAAATATGTACTTTACAATTGCCATTTTTTAGATTTTCTTTTTGGCAAAATGAATAGTTTGAAGAGTTTTTAATTAAAATTTTCAGGAAAACTTTTAAAATTAAAAAAAAAATCTTGCACCAATACAAACTTGAGGATCTTATATACAGATGTTCTTGTGTTCAACAGTTTCTTTAACGAATTTCTGTTTCAAGGTCAATGGTTGTGCAGAGAGTTTGTTGGGCTGAGATCATGCTCAGCTGCCAGGTTTCTTCTCTTAGTTAATTATTTAATCAAGAGTTTCCACATCTGATTTAACAGAATAAATAATATCCTGCCACAGTCGAACTAAAAGCCAGAACCTTGAAGATAAGAAGTCAGGGCATTACTCTCTGAGCTACTCTCACTCTCTTAACTGAAAATTTCAAGAAAAAAATTCTAGTTCCAAAATAACACAAATATATTGTATAAAATATTTTTGATTTAGTTGTGTTCATTATATCTCCTTTTCTTGGCTATCATGAAATGCTTTTTGATTTAATAATAAATGTGGTTTATATTCTTTAATTCTAACTATGTATTTACTTTTAATAAAAACCATCATTAACTTTTATTCATGAGCTCTATTTGTCTTAGGTGCACGGTACCGCTCCTGATATTGCTGGTAAAGATCTTGCTAACCCGACTGCTCTGCTTTTATCTGGGGTGATGATGTTGCACTATTTAGAGCTTAGTAGTCACGCTGACAAAATAAAAGCAGCTTGTTTAGAAGTGATCAAAGAAGGTAAACATCGTACTGGAGATCTAGGCGGTACTGCCACCTGTTCAAAATTCACAGATGAAATATGTAAGAAATTGGGATGATGATGTACAGGATAATTAACAGGAATTGTAGGCCCTGGAACACTGCAGTATTCTCAAAATACTCTTAGTGTTATGTTTTAAAATTCTAATGATGATTTAAGACTTTGAGATGATTTGTTACGGGACTATTTATGTCATTAAATTATTTTGTTCTAAATGTAGAAATTTTAAATTTCTAAACTTTGTAGATAAATTTTATTTAATTATTATTTATGAAATGATTAATTGTTTCCGTCAAAATTGTTGATGGTCTTCGATGAAGTGCCTAGTCACATTTTAATTATCATTGTTCCCTTGATTTAAATAAATAAACTATTTTAATTTGTGTTCCATTATTATTGATTTTATCATCTGTTATTGTCTAAACAACTTCCAGATACATACTTTTATAAAGATTCACTAACAGAAACGGAAAGATAATTTAGCATATGATTATAATAATAGGAGTATTGTAAATCTCTTAAATGTATTAAAATCGAGAAACTTATTTAAGAAATGTTTGTTGAATATGGCCATTAGTACACTTGATTGTAATGCAGTCTGGTGTCCTGTAAAGTGGTACTAATGTCACAAATGTCCGAACAAGGCTATAGTGAGATCTTGATGTCGTGTTTAGTTCTTTGTACAATACAAGCCCTAATACTAAGTCTACCAATACCACAAACAATTGGACAAAATTGGGTGCTGTCTTGGTGAAAAGCCAGGATAGTCTTGAATTTCATTTAATATAAAATTAAACTAGTATCTATTGGGAATACTACACGGTCATTCAGAATTGCATTCCAAGGCACTAATGACGTTCCGAATGATTGCATAAGGTAGTGAATGAAGTACTGGTGGACGTGTCTGGCGGATTTCCGGAAATCAAAGGTTCATTCACGAGAAGTGGAAGGGAGACTGAGGTAAAAGTTGTGGGGTGTGACAGAGATTTTCTGTCACAGCTTCGACAGTGACAGCTCCGGGAAAATCACAGTGATTTTTTTCCAGTGTCAAATATACAATGGCTAATTGGCGAAAGCGTCACTGTGAAATTATAGTTTACATGTTTAAACTTATATTAAAATAATTTTTTTTTCCTGTGATAAATTTTATATTTGATGCGGGAAAATATCTCTGGGATCCCTTGGTTTCTGTGTACAGTCCTGCAGAGAATATTTGAATTTATTTAATTTTTAATTAATTTTTGTATTTATATTAAAACAGTTAAATGAAAAACTTCCTGATAATTATTTCAGACATAACTCATTCAGAAATATATGGCAATGAATGCTCAATTCATCTGAAGTTCAAAAAGTATTTTTAATAAAATTTGACGAATAACTATTATTTTAGAAATGATTATTTCTTTAATTTATTTATTAAATTAATGAAGTCAACAATGCCCAGACTACTAGAACGAAAAAGAAGTGATATAGCGGAGTGGTCAGAGCAGTGATTTCACAGCGCCAACAGTGATCGTCACTGTTGGCCTACAGTGACTGTCACTGTGATTTCGGAGCGCCTGTCACTGTGATCACCAGCTCTGGCCCAGTCACAGTGACAGAATCACAGCTCCGGCCGTATGGCTCCATCACTACAATAGTTATGAGGCCTAGGTAAACAAACCTATATCCAGTAGTATGGTTAGTCTCCCCACAAGTTGTGGGGAGACTAACCATACTACTGAATATAGGTTTGTTTACCTAGACCTCACAACTATTGTAAATTCCTGATTTTCATTAAAAGTAAATAGTTTATAGTAATAGTAAATAGTTCTTCATATCCCTTGTTTATATTTTATAAACCATGTTCAACTATCTTTTTTTTAATAGTCAAGTAGGCAAAAAAAAAAAAAGTGGGAACTACACAATTTACTTGAAGAAAAAAATTAATCTTTAACTGTTGTGTATATTTGTCAGTTCTTTTCCCATTTTTCTCAACAAATTTATTATTTTCGCAATACCTTTCCTTACATTTTGTAAGAAGTAGACTTATATTTCACTAACTTTTGTCAAACTGATTTTCTATGAGATTAACCTTAGTACTAGATAGGTTAGTTTACCAAGCCTCACAACCATTTTCATTCCTGATCTTTAAGTAAATAGTTTTTATATCTCTAGTTTATATTTTTATAAACCATTTTTAACTATTTTTTCTTTAAATAATCAAGTGAGCAATAAAATAAAAAAGTGAAAACTTCACAGTCTACTTATAGGGAAAAAAATCTTATTTTATTTGTCATTATTTTTTCTGTTTTCCTTAAAAAATTGATTATTTTTACAATACTTTTCCTAAATTTTTGTAAGTAGTTAACTTATATTTTTCTAACTTTGGTCTAAACGATTTTCAGGCACTAGGAAGTAATTATTATATCTCCATTTTTCTCTTGATGCCCAATATTATAAAGGACAATGTCCAAATAAGCTTTTTAAATTAAACAGATTATTATAAGTGGACAATCCACCAGATCCATGCTGCCTGTTATCTAAATGTCAACTGAGCAAAAATGATCAGTAATGATTGAATGCCTTGCAGTTCATCATGAACCTTCAACATAAGAGCCTGTATGTGGAATGGTCCCTTTCTTAACAGCTAGGATTTCATTTCTGTTTTCATCAAGTTCTTTTCCTTCTGAATCTTCATCCACGCTTTCCATATGTATTTATTGAAGCATTTTTAATCAAATAGTCCAGCACTCTGCCATTTTATTTCTCTTTGGCATTTTAAAAATAAATCAAAACGTTATTAGATCAATAAAGTTGGAGAATTCACTAACCTTCTTTAAAATAAAATCATATCCTTACTAAAACTAATTATACTTAAGCAAGTTAGCACACAAGAATCATTTATCATTTGTTTAAAACTTGTACTGACTGCTTAGCATAAGGTGATCAGACATACCGCTTTTGGCGGTGAAGCCCTGATTTTTAACATTTTATCCTGCAGTTTTTCATAAAAGTCCCGAGAATATACGGTTTTCAGCCTTATCTAATTTGCCAGAATATGACATATATTATTTTTGTTGATTTTATGTTAAACTCTAATAATAACATAATTGTTAAGGAGTGATTATCGAGAACTGTTTAGCAAAGTTTGCATTGTTGATCAGTTGTTAAAATTCAACCACTATTGTTTGGACTTAATAAACAACCTGAAAATGATCTTTTTAGTAAAGTACCATTATTAAAAAAACATATTGATAAGGAAAAGGTTAAATCGTTGGTATCAGCAACTTAACTTTATTTGCTACTTCGATTACCAAAATTTCGTCACCTTCAATAAGTTTTATAGCATTTTGAAAAAGAGCTGCTTGATTGTGTATAAACTTCTGGCACAAAACATCAAAGTATTATAAACAGTGTTCATGTCATGAATTAGACATTAAATACACCATCAAATTATTTGTTCTCAAAAATACATCCTTGGAACTAAATTCTCAACCTTATTTCAGCTGAATACTATGTCACCTGATTAACATTTGAACCAGATTATCATTATGTAAAAATAAACTAAAGGTAATTTTTTTTTTTTTTATGTAGATAACAATTTGTATTTAAGAATTTTAAGAGTCCAAAAAAGGAATTTAATTTAATTTGCTTTTTCATAATAAAAATTTACTTCGCCTACTTTACTGGAAGCACCTCTTGGTTTTTGAAACTTATGATGCATTATAACTTATTTAATAAAATAGTTAATATTTGTTTCTTATTCTGCATTGAAAAACAAAACTATTGATATATAGTAACCTAATAATCCAGACAAAGAAAAGTCAAAAATAAATAACTTAAATTTTGTTTAAAATTATATATACGTATTTTTTTCCTCTGCTACTAGGGCCCATTGGAAAGAATACTGAGATATGTGTTTATTATTTTCGATGTAGTATCACCAAAAAAATTTTTGGTTGAAACCGGTGACCCACAGACTATCCTCTCCTTTTAATATAATGGAACATTTAATGAATAACTAGTTGGTCCGTCAGAATAATTCATATAATACATTGGTCAATGAACAAATAGCAATATTATATTATATATTCTTTCAAAATAAAAGACCAAAACACGTACAAATTACAATTGTCTATAATTGGTCCTATACTGATTTTTTTTTTACATTGTACAAAAATTTGGAAATATTTCTAATGATCTTATATTAAAAAAACACCTTTGAGAAATAATGTTTACAGATCAGTGCCAATCTTAGACATTTGCTGCCCCCGAGCAATGTCTTCATCAATCTCCCACTCTATAAAAATAAACTTATTTCTTAAGCTGTTTGAAATTATGTATAATTTCAGTATTATGTATAATTAAAATATATAATATTTGAATTTTATTTCATTCAACATTTCTCTAATACAGTTGCTTTATTGATAGGCTAAAATCAATTATTTAATACATTTTGTAGTTTTTTTTTTTAATTTCTAACAAGTGCCAAGCACCCCAAACGATCAGCCGGCTCCATGGGACAATTACCGCACCCTAAGACCGGCACTGTTAAAAATAGTGCAATACTGAACTGCTTTCCATAGAAACCAATTCAATTTTTCAAATAATCAAAAACTATACATCTTCTGTAATATTGCAGTTATTAATTATAAAGGTATTAATGCAGTGCACTGAATGATGAATTTGCCTGTAAGGTAGGAGAGCTCATAAAGCCTTCCACTGCTCAACTTCCCCTCCTCACCCTAGCAATCACCTCACACCAGGAAAGAATTTTTCGACTATCTTCGGATTAGTTTGGGATTTTAATTAAATGAGAAAAAAACTGTTTACCGAACTCTTTACATTATTACTATGGCCCAGATCAGTAAAGAGTGGGGGATCAACGAGAAAACGTTCTGCCACTGCGTATCTCTCTCTCCCTCTACCCACTGGCTAACTTATTTGGATGGATTCTATTGTCTAACAGAACCCTCATGAAAAATATAATCTAAAAAAAAGAGCAAAACATTTATATTATCCGTAGAGACCTCATTTACCTTTTCAATAGATTTTTAGT